TTGGGCTTTTTTTGATTTATCCCCATTTTTGGGCCACCGCCCCATAGGTGGGGGTGTCCAACGGCTAAAAGGTTTTTTTGGAGCGGGGCAACCCGGGGGGGTTCAGATATGGGCGGGGCGCACCCGTGGGGCGGGGGGTTTGGGGGAATTTATATTTTTTCCCCCCCCCCTTAGGGCATGCAGGATTAGGAGTCCCCCCCCCCCCCTAGGGGAAGACCCCCCCCCCACCCCCCCTCGGCCTTGTTTGCCATCGGGGTTTGGGTTTTCGTCGCTTGGCAACGACGTTGTAAAACAAGCCGCCCCCCCCGGTGTTTGCCATCGGGGTTTGGGTTTTCGTCGCTTGGCAACGACGTTGTAAAACAAGCCCCCCACTCGGTGTTTGCCATCGGGATTGGGTTTTCGTCGCTTGGCAACGACGTTGTAAAACAAGCCAATTCACTTCGTGAACTCGGCAACCAGGTTACCGTTTGTTTTGTTTTTCCTCTGTTTTTTTTTTGGCGGTAACCATAATGGTGGTCGAGTAGATCATGTTGTGCGGGGTCGAGAACCCTCGCTCCGCGCAAGGGGGATGATCGCACCACGTTGTGTTAAAATGGCCAAGCTTCCTCGAGGCAGTTACACAGTGCTTACAACTGTCTCTGGAAGTGAAAGCACCAGAAAGTAAATTAAGTCATACGTAGCTGTCATCCGTACGCAAGGAAGAAAGCACAAGATGCCGAACACCCTTAGCAGGATGCAGCTCACCCTTCATGCGACTCGCCGAATACCTCACGGCGCTTCGCGCTTGGTGATGTGAGAGCCTGGTCCGGTGAGAACCCGGCGTGCTCCGTCCCGGCTTTGTAGGGATGCGAGGTCAATGGTCAAACGACTACGGCATGCACGACTATGAGTACACCCCCCCCCCCCCCCCCCTAGGGGAAGATGTCCAGAGGTTCAGTAGGAAGGGAGAAGTTGTCATGGTGGGCGATCTCAACTCCGAGTAGGGAAAGAGCTAGTAGCGGACAGGCAATCGGGAAGCAGGGAGAAGACAAAGTGGATGATAACGGAGTAAGGATGCTTGAATTCTTGGGAAGAAACGAGCTGATGGTGTTGAGCGGCAAAAGGGAATGCGATAAGCGGGAGTTCACCAGAAAAAGGGCCGTCTGCAAGGAGTACCCGGTTCTCGACTACACCCTGGTAGATAGGGGGAGCACACAGATCCCAGAGTTGCACGTAAGTGCACAAGATATAGGCTCGACCGACCGCTTCCTCATATGCGCAAACATCGACCGAGCTAGGAAGGCGGAGAGTAAGAAACAGGGGAAAGTGTTCCGGTGGAACGTGAGCGTTTGGGAGACGAGGGGACACGGGATGAATTCCAGAATGGACTGGCTGATAGTGTAGAGCACTTTCGGAATTTGCTGAGCAGCGTTGAAGACGGGCATATAGACGTACAAGCAGCAGGGGACAGAGTGATTGAGGGGTGGGAGTCCATAGTGAAAACAACCGCAGAGAGGGTAGTGGGAGAGAAGGTGGTACGATGTGGGGTATCGGTCAAGAGGTGGGATGACTAGCTAAAAGAAGAAATAGGGGAACTTAGATAAGTCGTCAAGCAGTATCTGGGTGAGGGGTCTGAGGGGAGTTGGGAAAAGTACACGGCCATGAGAAAAGAGGTGAAGAGGCTAGTGGGAAAAAAAAAGTGCATTTGGGACGAAGTAGTGTAGGAGGCCAACGGAGGCTTGGAGGGGAACGTCAAGCAGGTGTGGCAAGGGAGTAGTGGGATGGTAAAAAAAAAAATGCAGGCGGGGAATACAGGGGTAGCAACCTTTGCGAGGTGTGAAAGGTGGACTAGTCAGCAGCGGGAAGGGAAAAAGGGAAGCTCTAGCAGGACTCTACGAGAGACTTGGAGTGCCGTCGGAGAATGAAGCTTTTGACCAAGTGTTTAACCCCTTTTGGTCTACTGTAGCCCTTAAATTTTCTGGCAAACAAAAAAAGGGAGGAGAGTGCGGCAGAGAGAGACAGAAGTACAGCAGAAAGAGGCAAGTGTACTTCTGTAGACGCAACAGCTATCTCCGCTCATAGGTCATGAGGGCAGCCCGCGACAGCACGGTGGGCACAGACAGGGTCATAGAAGGGTTGATGCGTGGTCGCGGTGCGGCCGGTAGGTCAGGCGAGGCTTGTAGACCCCGAAACGATCAGTCGTCAAGCCGCCTAAACTACTTTAGTTTCGGTATACTCAAATGACCGGTGAAAATGATCAGTGAGAGGGCTTGTGGACCCATAGCTGGTTCTTGCTTCTGTACTTCTCTGTCCCTCCCCAATGTGAGCCCTGCCGGCTCACTACAGCTCCCGTGATTTTCCCACAATTCCCACAAGCACGCACGCACACCAGCACACACCTACCTTTGCATCAGTAGCTCTCTAGGCTCGGGCGAGGGTATGTGCTGGGCTATGATGATCGTGTATATGTTACTATCTGTGTGTTGGACTCGTCTATACTGCTGCTGCTGCTGCTGTGTAGTATAGCCGCTGACACGATGACTGCTGGATCTTGGGAGTGTACGATTTTCAAATTTGGAGAATATGCAGCATCCCACGATATCCTGGCCTGGTTGGGCTTGAAATGTCCCGTTTTGCTGTCCTCTTGTATTGCTTTTGTGGCTTGCTAGATTCGGGCGAGGGCATGTATGTGGAGCTATTAATGTGTGTCTCTATCAAAGAATATGGGGAGCGATTCAAGGCGGCATTCGCATATAGCGCATCGTGCATTTTTCGAGTTTTGGCCGTCCCAAGGACCTTGATTACCCGCTGGCACTAACGAAGACTCATTGGTCACCGGGTAGCGCGGTCGATGCGAAAAACAAAGACGCACCCACCCATGGACTTGCCAACACCTGGCGTGGAGGCAAACTGGGCGGTAACTCCATGGCATGCCACAACACACAACACCAGCATGTACAACTGATCAATGAATGATCTGTCAGGACGCCTGAGACCAAGAAGGGTTAAGAAGGAGGTGGATGAATGGGCCAAGGAAGAAGAAGAAACATCGAAGGCAGTCGTTGGGAACGTAGAGCTGGAGAAGGAGTTCACTGAGGACGAGGTGGAGGCTTGTGTGAACAAGGTGCAGTGCCACAAAGCAGCAATGGCGGATGGGATAGTCAACGAGTTCATGAAGTTTGGTGGGAAGGGGATGGTCCAGCTGATGGTACTGCTGTACAACTGGGTGTGGAAAAACGAGCATGCGCCAAGTTAATGGAGGGAAGGGGTGGTTGTGAACCTGCTCAAGAAAGGAGACAAGACTGATCCAGGAAACTACAGGGGGGTCACACAGTTGAACACAGTAGGAAAACGTGTTACGTAAGCTGCTGAACGATAGGATAGTGGGAATATTGGAGAAGGAGTATGCAAAGTGAGGGACAGGCAGCTTTCCGAAAGAAGAGGGGGTGCGTAGACCGCGCATTCACGTTAGGGAGAATCATCCAAGGTAGAAAGAGGGCGGGAAAGCCGATCTACTGCTTTTTCCTGGACGTGCAAAAGGTATACGATACAGTATGGCGAAATGAGCTGTGGACCCGAGTACGGGATCAAGGAGGAAAATGTGGAGAGTGCTGAAGAAGATGACAGAGTGTACGAAAAGCGCGGTCATGCTAGACGGAGAACTGTCTAAATTCTTCCAACATTGAACAGGAGGTCCCACAAGGTTGCACTCTGTCCCCAACATTGTTCCAGGTGTTCATCAGCGATCTGTTGAAAGTCGTAGAAGCAGTCGACAAGGGAGTACAGGTAGTGGAAAGCACGGTGCCGGGAATGCTGTTTGCGGATGACTTTGTCGGGGTGTCTGACACTGCAAATGAAATTGATGCGGCGAAGGCGTTTGCTGCTAAGTGGAGATTGTCTGCCAACGTTAAGAAGAGTGTCGTCATGGTATGCAACGAGGACAGGGAGAAACCTGTAGAACATAGATGGAAGTGGGGGGTCGAGGAGCTTGCAGTAGTGGACCAGTACACATACCTCGGAGTAGATATCGCAAAGGACTGCTCGTGGAATGCACACATGTCCAAGGTAGCGGGAAAGGGCAAGCCACGAGCAGGGAAGCTGCATTTAGTACTCGCAAACCGGCACCTCGATGCACGCATCAAATTGACGGTTTTGAAGAGCATAGTCGTACCGCCGCTAGAGTACGCCGGAGAAGTATGGGAAGGATATAAGAAGGTAGTCAAAGAGCTCGAGGCGGCGCAGATGAAAGCAGCGATAGTCATCCTAGGATGCTCCAAGCGCATAAGAAATGCAGCCGTCAGGGCAGAACTGGGAATCCAATCCCTACGATCGGGAAAAGACGCAAGGAAGCTGAAATGGCAGTATCGCATGTTCGACATGGGAGAGGAGAGATTGCTGAGAATAGCCTGGGAGGCGAAGTGGGAAAACAAGATGAGGGGTGTACAACCCACAGAGTGGGTCAAGGTCGTAGGTGACGTATGGAAAGGTTGAGAAATTGAGGAAGACGATACGCTAGATACGGAGGGTCTCAACGGGTTTAAGGACAACATATGCGTTGCTTGTGCCGAGAGAGAAGAACATAATCTAAGGAAAGAACCGAGAATAAGGAGGGTCTAGAAGTGTACGGAATGTTTTAAAGAAGGAATAGGGTTCAAGGAGTACCTTCATGGACCAATGGATGCTGGGACAAAGCTTGAGGTCAAATTCACGGGGGCATTGGCCTTCGAGACCGTAGCCGCAGATTTTGGAAGGTAGACGATGAACACGCAGAGTTCAAATGTGATTGCGGCTTCGAGTGCGAAGACCGTGTTCATGTAATCGCGGAATGTCGGCTGTACAAGGAGAGGGAAGTGTACATGACTGAGCAGGGAAAAGTAGGAGAAAAGTATAGGGAGATGTTTGCGGCATGGGATGTTAGCTGTACTGGGGCATAGGAAGTGGTTTGAAAAGGTGGGAAGTGATATCGGTAGAAATTATATCGGTAGGATAAATAGAACAGGGAAGACATTTTTAGACACCTTTGGCAAAGTAGTAAGGAAAGATTGGCCATCGGTGATCGGTCCTGTGGGAACAATGCTCCGTCCTCTCGAGGACGCGTGGTCAGTGGCCTAACCGCTAAGGCATGCAAAACATAAGAGTACGCCCCCCCCCCCCCCCCTAGATGCTGCGGAACCCCCTCGGTTGACCATACCTCTGCAGGAACCTATCGGATGTGAGTGTCCGATAGCTTGTATAAACGGTATGGACCGTGCTAATACGATTCAAAAGGTTTGGGGCTAATTAGAGCTGTGTGGACGGAGGTTCGAGACAATTACTACTTCTGAGATGCTGCGGAACCCCCGTTTCTTCAGCTTATCTCTGCGTTCACGGGTCGCATTCAGCTTCTAAGCAGCGTTTCAGATAGCTGTAGCGCATACCTACACGATGCATTTGGTTTGAGGTCTATTTGAGCTCTATGGGCGGAAATCTGCCTGGTGGAGCAAATACGAAGTTACTCCACCGGTGGAGAAATAGGATTGCCGAAAATATATACACAATTACAGATGGAGAATAACTCACCGCTGAGCTGGTTGTCCTGAAGAGAGAGGTGCTGTACTGCTGCGAGGTTTCCCAGCTCCAGCGGGATGGGGCCTGCAAGCACAAGTAGAAGAGCAATGCGAACTTAGCGGGAAACAAAAAAAAAGAATAAATCTGCGTTCTTTTTTCTTGATCATCAATCGCCGCGAATCCTGTGCCTTCTACACGCAAGCGAGACATATTTTGCAGAGGCAGTAAACAGCCCGACATGAAGAGGATAAATACAATATTCAGTGTGTCGTTTAGGTAAGGTTGTGCAACTGAAGCTCCTATTGTAAATTGTCAAACCAAATCGAAATTGCTGATGCAGCACGCTTCTAAATGTGTCCCGCCTACGCATAGGCAGGACATATGTTCCAGAAGCGGGAACAGCCCGAGACGTAGAGGAGACATCGTACCAAATTCAGTATCTCTTACCCGTAAGGTTGTTGTGGTACAACGTGGCCTCCTTCAGCTCAGTGAGGTCCCCCAGCTCCTTTGGTATCCGCCCTGCCCAGATCAGCACCCGGGTACAACCAAAAGTGAGAAAATACCGGAAATGTCAGGTTGTGATGAGATTCTAGAAGATCGGTCCCGCCCACGCATCGGCGGCATTCATTAAATTCCCGTACACGTCTCACCAGTTAGTTGGTTACCGAAGGTCGAGCTTACTCAATGCTGCGAGCTTTCCCAGCTCCGGCGGGATGGAGCCTGCAACCAGAAGAGCAATCCGGAAAATGCGGGGGAAAAAAATAAATTGCCCGGCTGTCTTTATTTTCGATTTTCAAACTCCGTAGATCTTGTCCCGCCAACGCCGTAGGCGGGACCGATGTTCTAGAACTCGGGGATGTTTTTTGCCTCACCCCGTTAAATCATAATACTTTGACTCTTTCATCTACAGCCCACATCCCGCCGCAGCTAGGAGATCTTGGGGCCCTCAAGTATCTCGACCTCTTCACCCACACCTTAGATGGTGAGTCAGATCGAAAAGGTTTTTTTTTTCTGTCGAATTCTGAACATGCATGAATCCCGCGTACTGTACGCGTCGGCAGGATCGATAATCCGGGGAGTTTTTGAAACAATGTACAAAATAATTTTTGTGTGCCAGCTGCTGTGCTGCTTATGCCTAGACCGTCCTCCTTTTCTAGACCGTCGGTCCTGCCTACGCGCAGGCAGTACACGCGTTCTGGAAGCCGCAAGCGTTGATCAAGCATCTTACTCCACGAATCCGTAGGCAAGATCAAGCACATTCATCTCCAGACGAAAGTACGTGCAATCAGCAAGCAGCATATTATGCCGAAGAGCTACACCTTGGAGCTTGTTGTAGGCCAGGTCAAGCTTGACCACTCGGCCCTGGTCGTTGACTTTGACTCCATCCCATGTCGCGAGGTCAGCATCTGTGTCCCAGTTGTCTCTTCGCCTCCATCCAGCCCCGCCGGTCGAACGAAACAGGGCAACCAGTGCCTCATGGTCCGTCGAAACCATTGCTCAGGGGACCTGCACGGAGTTGATTTTGGCGACACCGCTACTGCAGTTTCAATCCCGGAAAGACCCCGCCAACCTGCCTGCAATTTTGGAGCCAAGTCACCTCCAGCTTCCCCTATCACCAATTATTATAGGGATATGCGGGAGAATTGAGAAACCAGTCTGTACCGAACTTGCAACGACGCCCTGCTACACTATTGTCTGAAAGCTGTGCACAGTGCAATAGCTACGTTGCTGGGATGTCGATATCGCGATGAACTGCGTGAGAGAAGCTCTCGTTCGGAAGGGTAGGCCGTCTTGCGTAGATTTGGAAAAGACGAAAAGACAGCGGGGAGACTTACAGCGTACGTACCGCAAGGTTGCGATTCACCGCACGGTCCTGAGTCATCGCACTGGGGTGCATTGCACAGTAAATGGATAAATGATTAACTTCGATTTCCGCGCAGGGTCCTGATTCGCCGCACAGGGGTGTGATGACTCGCAACCTAGGGTAGCTGAGTGCCAGTGATTCCGAGGCAACTTTCACCCCCGGTGCAACCATGTCAGTGCTGGCTGTTACCTCTGCTGTATAGGTAGTAGGTCATCGTCGCACACCACACGTGGAGGTATGAAGAATATCAAACACATTGGTGTGTATTCCATTTGATCGGTAAACTTGAAGCACACTCTGGCGTTTCCTTCCCATTGTTCCCACCGGCATTTTCTGATCATATCGCCTTCAGGGTTTACTCAGGACCGCACATGCCGGAGTTGTCGGACAGGGTTGTGCGTATTATATCAAAACCAATGATGTATGTCGATTTCTGCACCGGATCCGAAGTGACCGCACGGCCCGGAGTCATTGCACAGGGGTGCGATGCAAATAAAATGGAGAAACAAAAATTTAAGCGACCGCACGGGGGTGCGGCGACTCGCAACCTCAAGGTAAACGCTGACACAGAGCGCTTGAATGTAATTGGAAGAGAAAATACATAGTGCAGGTGGCCGCCGCATTCTTTCCAGATGGAATGGACATCTGAGGGTGGACCTTATCAGACAAGTTTTCCGTCGAAAATCGAAAATAGAAAATCGGATGTCACTGATTGGACCAAGCTCCAGTGTTCCGCCGTCGGATTTTCGATCTAGGGGTAAGCGTTCCGAATATCCTCCGATATGGAAACATCAAAGGCGAGCACGAATAGACTCGACATAGAAAATGGAAAATGCAACCAGAATATCAAGCTGGCTGCCACACCCTCACAGAATCGTACATGTCTCCATTTCGATACTCGTCTAGTCACCTACAGACTGCTTGGCGATGCATGCAAGAGCTTGACAGAAAGCTGACATCCAGCAGAGCACGGTATACTTTCTTTGAGCGAGATCTGCTCTAAGTTGAGGCAGAGAGAGTCATCGCCGGGAAATCCTTTCTTTGTAAACAAACGCAGTTCAACGGCAGCTGTTTTGGCTTTCCTACATCAGCACGCAGCATTCAATCACACATTGCTCGCTGAGTTCGCACAGTATCGATGCGAGACAAGGACCTCCCAACCCGCCTGATCATGGTCATTGTTCGGAGCTACTGTATCGTTCGCTGTCTTGGATGCCGCGTGGCTCTCATGGTCATGGTTTGAATCATCGCCACTGGCATGTACGGTCCTTGTTCGCCTCTTCCCCGAAATCAAGACGGCCACCAAACTGTCTTGTTGAGCTTGTTACCCACAGGGGAGATATCGCTGTGTGCTGCTCGGGAAATCGTGGAAATACAGGTAGCCTTCTCTGACACTATGAAATCTTGCTACATACAGAACCGGCCCGCACTTAAGAATATGGACGTTAAGAATTTGAGCCTCAAAAAATCCAATTTTTAAGAATTTGCCCGTAAGAACACGTGCTCAGATCGGACCTGCTGTTAAGAATAAGAACCTCCAGTGAGGTGTACGACTGGTGCAACAGATAAGAACATACGACATGACGCGGCGGTGGCGAGAGAAGAACATACACAGATGGAGGAGGAGGGGGGGGGGGGGCGTTCCCCGGTTTTTTGCTAGGTAGTTGGTACCTACCTAGACTTTTAGATTTTTTTTTTAGGTGGGGGTCTGCTGTTCATACACGTCGTGTCCCGTGCCAGCGAGTTTTTTTTTTTACCACGCAACGCGGTGCAGCGTGCCACGAGTTGCCTGCCGTGCAGGGGGATCATGTCCCTGTCCAACCCCCTATCCCATGGGTTGTTGAAGGACCTTGGCAAACTCTCGGAGTTGAAACAACGAGGACTGATTCTTGACCGTCACTTCGAGACGATAAAGGCACATGTGAAGGCGGGCAACTCCGTTGCGAAGGAGCGATGGGACGCAATCGAGAACGCATGGGGGCTGAAGCAGACGGGTGTATTCAACGAAGAAGAGTGGATCACGCAGATTGATGGAGAGGCCCAGGGTATTTCCACCAGCACCCGTCCGTCGTTTTTAACGCCACAAGATGCGGGCGGCGCGCGAGGTGCACCGTCTTCGTACCCACCGCCTGCTACTGCTGCGGCTGCCGGGAAGAGAAAGGTCGCAGATCGGGGGAAGCAAGCCAGGAATCGAGCTGCCCAAGGTGTTCTAGGTGGGAACATCATCAACGCGTTCGCTCGTGGCAGCGGAAAACCGGTGAGTTCAGTCGTCTGACAACTCTGTTGCTGTGATGATGTACATATATACAGCAGTCGTACGGCGGTCCAGCCGCTGTATGTATGTAGTGTAGATACAGCAAGAGTGCTCCTGCTGCTGCTGTTGTTAAAAAAAAAACGCGGTGGTGATGAAATGAAAAATCGAGAGAAAAACTACTCTGTCACAGGTTGGTGTAAACGACTGACTTTCAGCATGGCGTATATGTATGTGTACAACTTTTTCAAATATTCTCCGTTTGCCTCACGTTTTTGAGGAAGGCAAGGACGGCACAGTAGACACAGTGGCGAAAAAGAACGCGTACACGAGCGCCGTCCCAACCGTATTTTGTAACCTTTTTTTTGCAGCACCGTGATACAAACACACGAGAGACGGTCATGTAATCACCCCCCGCCCCATCTGCATAGATTTATATATTTTGCCATCGACATCCACGCAATTTCAGGTCCACAGCTCGTTGAATCACCTGCACTTCAATTCCGCCCTTCTCCTACCGCGCCGTGCAGATTGAGCGGACTCGCGGTGGTGTCACAGAGCATGTGTCGGGCATCAACTTCCCACCTCCGGCCCCAGAGCGGCGCCTACCGTGCACTCACTGTCCCATGACCTTCGTGAACGAGCAAGGACTTGGGATCCACGTGAAAACACAGCACAGCAATGCAAACATGTCCAACGGCTTGCGGCTGCAGCGGATGCTGGGGAAGACTCCCAAAGGGCATGTTCAGCCGTGGGAAGAAGCCGGGCCTGGACGTTGTTGGCACGTGAAGGTCGATGGTGCCAGGGGGGCGGCTTCGTTTGTCCTCCAACGGAAGCGCTTCCGCGATCTCGACTTGGAAAGCGACGGCTTTACGGACCGCAAAGTCAAGGAGACTCGTGGAGCTGTGAAGCGCAAGCGATACGACTACAGGTTCAAAGCCCATGTTGTGACCCAGCTGCGCCTCCTCCAGGAAGACGCCGCAGACCTCTTCAAGGAGGAGAAGCTCACGCCTCTCCAGTACTTAGAGGACCGTCTCAAGGTTAACTACAGCCTGATCGTGAAGTGGGCTCAGGACGAGGCCAATATAGTCCAATCGGCAGCAGATGACGTGAAGAAGACCCTCCTTGCCAAACAGCAGCCAAAGCGGTGGTTTCCTGAGGAAGAGAAGAAGCTGTACAATATGTTCTTGGCGCGGCGGAGGAGGAAGCTGAAGGTGTCGACCCTGTGGCTGACGGTCACCTTCCGGAAGCTCGTGCAAGAGAATCACCCTGAGGACCAACGGGCCGCGGCGTTCAGCGCGTCCTTCAGGTGGGCACGAAAATGGGCAAAGAGGCATAAGCTGTCCAAACGGCGCAGGAGCAACCTCAAGAACAAGTCTGTTGAAGAGCGCCTACCAAAGATCCAGCGCTTCCACCGGCGGTTTCGCAAGCTCCTGCAAGAGCCGGTACGGTACAGGGCACCCGAGGCATCGGACGTGTCGGCGATGTCGACGGTCGCGGAGGGAGAGTCCAGAGATCCCAAGTACGGTCAGTTCCAGCTCTGGGAGCGTTGGAATGTGGATCAAGTGCCTTTGCCATTCGTGAACGGGCTGATCAGCACGTGGGAAAAAACAGGCGCGTTGCGTGTAGCCATCTCGCAGCCCTTTGCTGGCCTAGAGAAAAGGCAGTGCACCATGCAAGTCATCTTTGGTCCGGGTGAGAAGACTATGCGGATTTCGGTGATTTTCCGAGGCCAGGGGAAGCGGATTTCGCCGGTGGAGAAGGCCGCGTACCACAAGGACGTGGACGTGTTTTTCCAGCAGAATGCGTGGGCGGACCAAAAGTTCTGCATGGAGTGGGCCAAGAGGTCGTACCGCGAAGGCCTGATCCGCGGGCGGGGTGAGCTCCCCGAGGCGAGGTCCATTCTGATAATGGACAACTTGCACGCGCAGACCACGGACGAGTTCAAGGGGTATCTTGCGAAGCAGTGCAACACTCTCGCCTGGCTTGGCCCTGCGGAGTGCACGGACGAGGTGCAGCCAGTTGATGCAGGAGCCGGACGATTTCTCAAGGTGGAAGTTGGCAACGAGATGGACAAGTGGCTCGATCAGTCGGGCAACATCGAGAGGTGGGAAACCGCGTCGCTGACAGCTTCTGACCGGCGCGTACTGATCACTCAATGGGCGGGAGCGGCCATGGAAAAACTCAACAGCAATCAGGGGTACCGACACCGCCTTTTCGAAAAGTGCGGGATGGCGATGACCGTGGACGGCTCAGGCGATGATCGAATCACCTTGGAGGGTTTGGACCAGCCGTACACCTTCGCAAACGATGAAGACTCCAGCGAGAACGAAGGAGGTTCGGAGGACGGCAGCGATGGGCCCGAGGGGAAGGAGGAGG